TTAGCAAATACAGTCAGGCGCGATACAGCATATGAAACATTAAATGTGTCTGTTTGCCTCAACTTACACAAAACTGTTCATTTGACTAATTTTCGTACGGATTGGTGGCGCCAATTGGTATTCAGCCAAGCGAATATGCCGAGCACCCAGGTTTGTTGTTTCCATAAAACCACTTTATGCTCTCTTATTCATAAAGCTAGATATATTTACGATGTTAGGCGCGTGCAGTATTGGTTGGGCTTAGTTTGCCGAGTATTGTAAACAGCGAAAATAGGTAACGACCGGGTTGTTACACATCTTTAATACAAAGATTACAAGGACTGTGTAGAAAATAAAATAACTCGATAGATGACTCTTGAAAGTGCTCATTATTCAATCTTTTTCCCGTCACAACATCTTTCTTCTTTCATTGAAAGCGGCGTGGACTTAAACTTATCTTAAAGCTACGGTGATTTAACTCAGGGATCGATCCGAAGAAACATGTACATTAATGCCAGCTGTGTGAATCAAAAACTATTAAAAACATGCAGTATGGTATACATATATATCAAAGAGAAGTGGATGCCGGATTTTTTGTTAACAACACTTCAGAAATAAGTATGCGTAAATAAAGCACCGGACGTCGTAAACCCTGCTGAGGAATTCAGGCGCCTAACTATCAAAACGCAAATGTTATAGAAACTGAATTGTTTTAATGCTGTTAATGAGTGTATTATTTATCCCATTGCTCAATTTAGTTTTAAACTCTTCGTTAAAACATCGTATCTTATTGTAACTACTCTCTTGCCAGTTATGGTAGAAAAAAAGAAATTCCCTCTTCCGTAACAAAACAAACAAATTGCCTTGTTCATTCATTGTTTGCTTCCCACAATGGAAACTTAGTTTTCTCATAAACTTAGAGGGGGTCCTGAAACAAACATAACAAAGTCAAATCTTTCGATCGTTACCATGGTGCTGTCAAAACTGGTATTTGTTTCAGATATTTCTACTTTACAGCCTAATTGGTTCTTCATCATTTAGCTGTCATAACTCTGAAGAACGATACAAAATCGTTTGCTAAAAATAATATTCAGTAACTCATTCCGAGACAAGTCATGGCGTGTTGGGTTATTTCGAGCGCAGACCACATGACCTTTCGTTATCGAAAAAAAAAAAAGAAAACTTCATTTACTCCTGAGTTTTATGTAAGGAGAGTGAAGAGGTGTGTGTATTGCATTTTCAATCATTTAAGATACACGTGATGTTTTCTCGTTTTGAAACCTACACAACAACATGCACCCACGCATTTACACATTACATGACTGCTGGAGTCATTACAAAAAGAATTCTTTCACTTTCTGACTGCACCGCAGCTGCAAACTGTCTTTAAAGTTATGTAAACTCATTGTTCACATTATTTCTCATCTAGAAAGCGCAGGAAACTCTGACTGACGAGAAAGCGTGGGTGCAATTGGGTTCAGTTGACGTAAGAAGGAGAATGGGGTGCTTTGTTCTTATTTTTAAGACATGACTTCAGGCATTAACTCACGACATGGTGACTTTATGTTGCTATGCAGCCAAAACCACACTTTGACGTCAAAACCTCAGTTCCAGTGAAATACCAAACACTTGTAATAAGAGAATGAAGAATGTTTTTTATGTTACTATATTTACAACAGGCCCAGATTGTTCGAAAGGTGGATAACGCTATCCAACGGATAAATCACTATCCAGTGGATAGTGTGGTTTGTTTTATCAACATTTCTCTACCAGATAGCGATTTATCCGATGGATAGCATCGTTCAAATTAGGAAGATGAAATGTTTCTATATTTCATAAACAATGTCCGTTTTTGTTGTTGGGTCACGGTTTCAATTCCTTTTGTTTTCGGGGGACACTATTGTAAAGTTAATCAAAAGAGCTTTCAATGCTCAGTTGACCCTCAGAGAGGTATGTGCGCGTAACTTTTGTGATGAGTCTTTTCAAAAGTTTCTCAGTAGGATTTAACTTCCTTTTTTTTCCCTCTTTTTGACAGTAGCCAGCTAGTCCTGAGTTCATTGCTCCGTGGTAAGTCAGTGTCGTTTCAGATCACTTTAAACTCCTTTTGTTTCGTTCTCTGTTCTGTTCCCTAATCGTTATTGCGAAATGAACACAAATTATATAACTTTTCTCATCGAATGTGTTTTGATGTTGTGTAGTTTTGTTCCTCAGTACAAGGTCATTCCGTTGCCTTGGCTCATGCTTTAAGGTTTCATGGCCTTGTCTCTGATGAAAATGATTTCGTAATGACCTAACCGCTAATATGCATATATGATTTGTACACTGATGGTTTGCTGTTTGGCGTAAATAGGATGAGGCGACGTAATATTATCTGCAAATATTGCGCTTGAACGCAACAAAAGTGTTGGAAATTTTGTCCGCAACGCATTCGATGATCAGAAAATTAAAATATATGGTCTTCATTGTTCAACCAAGCGAATCCATTTAAACACACCATCAAAGTAATGTTCTATCATAATGCAATTTTTTCTATCAAGGCATAGTTAGTGGAAAGAAAGAAAATGCGAGTGCAAATTCGCTTGCCTAGAAATACTTTGCACATTCATTTAATTCTTCAGAACTGGGAAAACTAGCGGAAAATATCATTGAGATAGTAATGACGATACAATTCAGGGAGCTCGATTCGTTGCGATCATACGATCACAGCTCGTGAAACATGAGAGCGTCCAACTTGTTAAACGTGAGTAAGTACCCAGAACCGTTGACAAACTTTGAGAAAAACTACTGGTCATCCGTTGAAATTTTTACTGAAAAAAGAAAATGGAGTTTTAATTAATCAGGTTGATTGACGCTCCTGACCAACAAATTTAGAAGTGGCCCTGAACTTGACATCTTAATTTGTCTGTGAGCTACATTTGAACTAGCTTTTTGCCTGGACCTCAAATCAAATATGACAGTTAATCGTATCTCACAGAGTATCTCACAGAGATTAAATCAATGTTCGACTTAGTAAGCTCGGCACATAGGAATTGAGCGCATACTTAAAGAGGTGCTATAGTGACTGCTAAAATAGTACACGTATTTTATAACCACAAAATACTTTGTTGTGGTGAATTATTGTGATTTGTTTAGGACTTTTTTTTTGTCGTTGCTTTTTGGTCTTAGACTGTTATTTTGCCCTAAGGGCAGACTGTCAGTGTTCAGAGTGTCAGAAGACGTTATGTATTTAATGCGAAAACCAACTCCATGATAAACTAGTCCAAAACAAACTTTCCTTAATGTTATGGCATTTATAACGCAACAAAAGGACTAATGATGCCGTGATAGATAAAAAATCAGCTTGAACAGCTCTCGACTTGTTTTTGCTACGCTGGGAACAAATTTCCAAATATTCCGTCAATAAATACACAGGGAAAGACTGCGACTCAGTTATACAGCAAGTGCAATCACCTTTCTTGCTCTATGTTGTATAGATTTTTGGCCTGACGAAAGATGACTTTTACTATCAAATGAAAATAGAAATAGATAAACAAGTTTTTCCTCAAATATTTTCTTGTTTAGTCAGTTTGCGGAATAAAGGCTGCAAATAGTGGTTAGCAAGGACGTCATCTCCCCGGGGTTCCAAAGGTCCTGGAGAGGAGGTAAACAAGGCTCTTTGAGTCTAGCATTCTAGAAAAGTGTTCCTTAAAACTGAACTCTAAAAAACATTACCAAAATAAACAGCAGAAGGTTTCATTTCAGTTTAAGCTTCCTGGCACGTTGGAATCAACATCGTCGACTGAGCTGAACTGAAATACTTCAACTGTTTCCCTTGTTCTGGTGTTGATTGTAAAACCGTTGCCAAAACACAACAAATCCACGAAGATTCTAGGAAAGAATCAATTACCCTAAGGCTGCAAAGAAACAACGAGAGTAAATTTAAAGAAAATATAATTTCACTGACGCCATGTTGCTTCCCTCGCTGTGCCCACGAAGCTTTTGTTGCTGTCAGTCAAATAATTATAAAATCTTTCTATTTCATTCGTACACTTACTTGATTCATAGTGAGAGATTGAAGTGCAATTAACAGCAAACGATAGTACATAGAAATTTCCGTCATGTTTATATGGCAACGGAATGTAAGCGCAACAAACAACACAGCAAAGTTTTTGTCAGACGTCATTTGTAAACTTGATGGTTGTAAATAGTATTTTCTTTTGTTTTTCCAAATAAAATCCAAATTTTTAAATACGATGTTGTCTGTTAACGATCCCATCAACAACACAAGACAGTCTAAGACAAGCCGCCATATTCTGTCCTTACTTGTAAAAACACTTAAAACTTAAGACGAGTTTTAACCGAGCGGATGAAATTATTGTCGCCACTTTTAATTTTCGGCGTGGCTTGTCAAATTTGGCGAAATTGTTTTGTAATAGCAAGAAAAATTATCTTATAACATCAGGCCGGTTTCCCATCTAGCCGGTATCATGGTAAACGATTTTTTTTTCCTCTAACAGGCCTATTCATGCAGATTCTCGTGATTTCAGCGGAATGCAAAAGAATACAATTGTGCCTGGAGGAACTTGCATCCTGCCGTCTTCAGTGACCCGTGCTAGCATTATTTTCTTGTCCTTTTGTACACATCACTAATAAGAACATTCCAGCGGTAACAAATAAATCTACTAATAGCTGTAAATAGAAAATTCCACAATGCTGAAAAGTTCAAGGACCATTGTTTGTGACAAATACTTATCACGGCAATACGGGCCCATTCAGGGCACTTCAGCAAGGACCTCCGATAGGTAACTGCCTTTGTGATGCGCGTGAATCAAAGTTTTTACGGCTTGTAATTCTCTCTTTTTCTTTGCTTTCAGTAACCGGCAGTTTGGCTAAGCCTCCGAAGCAGAAGTGAGTCTCAACACTGGTAAGTGTTAAGTTTTTTTGCTTAAATTAGTTGAAAGAGCAAAAAAAGAAAAAAAAGGAAACCCACATTTCAGATAGGGCCGGATTCTTAACACACCCCTCCCATTTCGTTCAGCAAAGAGTGGTGAACCGGTGAACTGTTTTCCAAAGACAATCCATGAGCTGCCATTTTTTGGTTAGTACATGTTCTTGCGTGAACTAACGAACCAAATCTTGCACGTTTTGTTTCGTGTTGTTCTGTTTGAAGAGTTACCATGGACCTAGTAATTTAACTTCCAAGTGCGTACAAGATTTTATCGGTATGTAGCTACGACCTTTTAGTTTTGGTGACCTTTCAATAAATTTCAGTGCATAAACTGTAAAGCGTGTGTTAAATCAAAATTGTCGAGGGCTGCAATAGTAAATTGACA